TCCAAGATGATGCCTTCCACTTCTGCCCCTCACCTCACCCCGCCATCTCATCTCTACCCCAACACAAGGCTACTCACCCCCACAAATCAGGTCATCACACCCCTTGGCTTACGCACCAGTGGCTTCCCAAGGCAACTGGAATCAAAACCAAAGCCTTATCTAGCCCCCGAGGCTCCAGCTGACCTGGTCCCCTGGGCCTCGGTCTGTAGCCAATCTCCACTGCACTTGGGCTCGTTGTAGCTTTCCCACCCACAGCACCTGGGAGCCCGCCGCAACCACGTGAGCCCTGGGCTGGCCGTGTCCTTGCTGCAGACACTCTTGCCCCAGGCAAGGGCAGCGGGGCTGCTTTTCCTCAGGGCACAGCTTCAGTGCCACCTCATTGGAAGAGGCGTTGATGGACATTCGGCCAAAGGAGCTCTCCGGCCTGGCCAGGCACTCCCGGGTAGCCGATCTTATTTTTTCTAAAGCACCGGGAACTTTCCTGTGGGTTTGCTGCCCGACTTATCCCCACAGACTCTATTGGCCCCATGACTGCTGGGCCTTGGGGAGCTGTGTCCCCGGAGTCTGGTGAATCCTGGCGCTCAATCATTATCTGCTGAACGGATGAGTGCGTGCCTATTCGGCCCACCCTTCGAGATACTGACTCATCTCTCCACATGCCCCTCCTGCACACCCCACCACAGAGAACCACACACACACACACACACACACACACACCCTTGTGCTCTGCCCCAATCAGACACCATGCAGCCTGTCTCCCCACCTCATCGGGCAGCCCAGGCAGCAATCAGCGACGCACTGCCCTACGCGTGTGGCCTCAGTCTCTAGCTCTTTCACTGGGCACAGTTCTTAGGGGCTGGTGGTGAGGGAATGAGGGTGGTGGGGGAATTTTTCACTATTGCAAACCCCCACCCACCCACGTCTCCTCCTCTGAGCTTCTGCACTCTCTTGCTGCAATATGTCTGGACACTCGAGGTCAGGGCAGAGGCCCCAGCACAAAGAAAGGGGCTTGGAAGACTGACCCTTCAAAATCTCTTCCAACCTGGGAATCTTCCAGG